CAGCAATGCCAGTTGCAGTAACGACGATCAAGATAAAACCCGTCAACCCGCCCCCGTTTAATCCTACGGACAAGACGGTTACAGTAAAGGGGTGGCTGTTCGGGGTCGAAGTCTTTTTCACTGCAGCAGGAGTTAATGACGATGCCACGCGTATTAATTACGCGGTTTCGCTTCTTCGAGGTGCAGCACTTGAGTGGTGGCGCCGAACCTTGGAAACGGGGACGCCGACAGATGTGACGCGTGCGGCAGACGGGACCTCAACAGTGACTAATCAAGTGGCACAATCAATCTTCGGAGTGACCACGATACGCACGTGGAAGGAGTGGGGCGCAGCCTTACGAGATCGCTTCGAGCACGTATCCGCCTCGGAGCAAGCTCGCATGAAGCTGCGTGCATGGTCGCAGATGGCTTCTGTCCAAGACTACACGGCGTCATTTATGGGCCTCGCCGACCAAGTTGATGACATGTCGGAAGCAGAGCGGTTGGATAAATATATTAGCGGCCTCAAATATGAGATATAGTACGAGGTTCGCAGGGGGCGCCCGGCATCATTTTTCGAAGTCAACAGATGCGCTGATGCAGTACGCGAGAGCAGCTTCTAGGGATGGAAACCGCTTTCGTGGCCAGACCTACAGTATCGGGCCACGATCAACGCCGTCCATACACCCGACTGCCCTCCTAAGGGACCGTGTTACTAGTGTGGGAAGACGGGTCACTACATGAAAGACTGCCACAAGAAAATGCCACTGACGGGGAACGACAGGAAGGAGCAGGGAAATGGGAAGAGTCAGTAATTAGCGGGCCCTTTACTGACTGTGCTCCGTCGCCCGAACCCCACCATCCCCACCGAGTCGTGGTTCCGATTCATGCAATCGATCGCACTCGGCCGAATAACGGGGATAATCATGTGGATCACCTTGTGCTGATCGCTGGCAAGGTGTTAAAAACTAACTTGAAAATGTTCGTCGACGGAGAAGCCAGCCATAGCCTCTTCAACTTGGCGAGCGCAAAAAAATGCAAGCTGCAACTTGACAGGTGTCTGCCCGAAATCGACGCCCGCCTCGTGGATGGGACGCCTCTGGCGATAACGGAAGAAACACGGACGGTCAGGATCGAATGCGGCGACGATTTCGGCTTCAGCATGAAGTTCCTCGCGACGACACTGGACGGTTGCGACGTGCTGCTGGGACGTGATTGGCTGCGACGGCACAACCCCGTCATCGACTGGACAACGGGATCGTGCAGCATCAACAAGCACGAGGGGCTAATTCAACTGCCTGCATGGACACCTGACTACATCCAAGCCCCGTGCGTCAAAGCCGTCACTATACCTCGCCACTTCAACAGGGGCGCGCAGCTGTTCGCTGTTTGCTTACGCGAGTTGGCGGTTGGCACCGACAGAAAGGACATCGAGAAGCTGTGAGCAGCTGTACCACCAGATTTAGCGGAGCTGATTCGGAGGTACCCCGACATTTTCCCCGACGACCTACCACCTGGACTGCCACCCGAGAGACCCGAGGACCACAAAATCCAGCTGGAACCTGGCGCGCAGCCGACTGTTCAGACATAGTGGCGGTTAACCCAACCGGAACTCGAGGAGCTGCGAAGCCGAATTGATGCACTGTTGGAGAAAGGGTTCATTCGGCCGAGCACCTCACCCTGCGCATCACCGATCCTGTTCACTCCGAAGAAGGACGGCGGGCTTCGCATGTGCATCGACTATCGCGCGTTGAACCGGGTGACCATCAAGTCTCGCTACCCAATCCCACGCACCGACGACCACCTCGACCAACTTCGCGACGCTCGCTATTTCTCGAAGATTGGTCGACTTACGTGGCGGTTACCACCAGATTCGAGTCTTCGCCGACGATTGTCACAAGACTGCGTTTCGCACACTCTATGGGAGTTACGAATTTACGGTGATGCCTTTCGGCCTCACGAACGCGCCTTAGACATTTCAACTCACCATGAACAGGGTTTTTCGGGATCTTCTAGACCGATGTGTCATCGTCTATTTGGACGATATCCCCATTTTTAGCAAGACATGGGAACAGCATCTCCGCGACCTGGACGCAGTGTTTAAGCGGTTGCAGGAGAACCGCCTCATCACCAAGGGCTCTAAGTGCGAGTTTTTTAAGTAGGAGTTGGAGTTTTTGGGCCACGTCATTTCCCACGACGGCATCAAAATCGACCCGGCGAAAATCAAGACCATACAGGAGTGGAAGTCCCCGACTAATGTCACGGAACTTCAGAGTTTTCTGGGGTTCGTGAATTACGTCCGGCGGTTTATCCCGAGTATGGCGGGGATAACTGGACCACTGACCGACCTGCTGCACAAGGACAAGAATTTCGTGTGGGGGGAGGAGGCAGAGGCGGCTTTCCAGGAACTCAATAATTTTCTCGTTTCCCCTCCTGTGCTGCTCATCGCCGACCCATCGAAGCCATTCGAAGTAGTAACCGACGCCTCAGATTTCGCCATCGAAGCTGTTCTACTCCATCGGGAACGAGCTGCAGCCGACAGCCTACGAGCCACGCAAGCTGCAGACAGCCGAGCGCAACTACCCGATCCACGACAAGGAAATGCTCGCAATCATCCACGCGTTTAAACTATGGCGATGCTACCTGGTGGGCGCCGACGTCACTGTACGCACGGATCAGAAGTCCCTCCAGTACCTGCGAACTCAGCCCAACCTCAACCCACGACAGATTCGGTGGCTGGACTACATGGAGAGCCACTTCACCTACCGCATCACGTACAAGAAGGGGGCGAATAACATCGCCGATGCCCTGACCCGACCGACAGTACAATCCGCTGCAGTACTCATCACCCATTCGAACCCATTACTTACCGGACTATTCACCCACGGCTACACTACGGACCTATTCTTCGCGACTGTAAATCATCAGCAGGCCACGACGCAGAAAGGGGATTATTACCTAAAAGCCGGAACCGACCGGATTTGGGTTCCCGCTTACCGGCTGCTGCGTAAAGTCCTTATCCAGGAGGTCCACGATTGAAATTTCTCCGGACACTTTGGGGTTGATAAAACCCAGAAATTACTGCACCGTCAATATTACTGGCCTGGGTCCTCTAACGATGTGCAGCAGTATGTGTCCTCGTGTAGGGTGTGCCAAGCCATGAAATCGACACGTCAGCGACCAGCTGGGCTGCTGCAACCCCTCGAGCCACCCGAACGACCGTGGCAGCAAGTGACAATGGATTTTGTCACGGGAATCCCGGCTGGGCCGTCCGGCAACGACCGCCGTCGTCGATCGCCTCACGAAGATGGCACATTTCGCCCCATGCCGAACAACAATCACAGCCGAGGACACTGCGCGCCTCTTCATCTCAACGGTCGTGCGACTGCACGGCATCCCTTCGGCGATCAATAGCGACCATGACCTGAAGTTCACATCGAAATTTTGGAAGGAGACATGGGCGCAGTACGGCACGAAGCTACAGTTCTCATCGGCATACCACCCACAGACGGACGGCCAGACCGAGCGAACCAACCAGACCACGGAGCACCTGATACAGACGAACTGCCCCGACCCTGCCCGCTGGGAAGAATCGCTCGCCATGTTGGAGTTCGCCTTCAACAACGCCCCGTCCAGCACGACTAATTACTCACCGTTTCTCCTGAATTACGAGATGGATCCGACGGTCCCTACAGGGACTACTCTCGACAACCCGGTCCCGAGGTCACAAACTTTTGTGACGGAGCTTCAGGAAGTCCGAGAAAAAGCCGCAGACGCAATTCACAAGGCGAATATCACTTCCCGACCTCCTACAACGGGAACTCGTCTTGACCGCTGGGCAACTAGTGCTACATGACACGAAAAACGTGCACTTGCCCGGCCCGTCGAAACTATGGCCACGATTTTGTGGGCCATTCAAGATCATCAAAATGGTGACACCTGTCACCGCGAAGCTATTGGTACCCGACGACTGGCGAATTCATGACGCCTTCCACGTCAGCCTGCTTCGCAAGTTCGTGCCAGCCACGACCGACATCGCGCGGCAACAAGCTGCCTCAACTGTCGGACCTGTCTCGGAGCCGACCCTTGACCCTTCGAAGGTTCTGGCACATCGGTTTCGACTAGACGCAGCTGGTCGCCACGTGGATTTCCTCAACCGTTGGACTGCTCGCACCAGTGAAGACGACTTTTGGGTGCACTCCGACTCGCTGGACGCCTCGCCACTTGTTTGTGATTATTTGGCACGCCGGCGTGTCTCGGATATTGACCGCCTTTCTTAAGGGGGGGGGGGGGGGGGGGTAATGTAAGGATTTTTTTCCGAATTCCTTATCGGGGTTGACTGCTTCGCGTACAGCCCCGAATTTTGGACTTTGCACGTTCGGCCGATTTCAACGCTGCCGAGGCTCCTCGCGTCGCCTTCGGCATTTCCCATCGCCAAACCTGCACCCAACCTCGCTCGTCCGAGGTTCCCTCCTAGCTAGGCTAGCTCCTACATTAGTCTGTGCCTTCATTGTATTCTAAGTTCTTGCAATCACAGTCTCGTTACCGTATTCGTTTACCTGCGCACTCTTTTTTACAGCTCAGAACACACTCGCATTGCACGTAACCATATTACTGGTACATTCAATCAGTCAAATACGGGTGCGACCAATCTTCGGCAATTCTTAGACTTAGACAGGATAGTCCTTCTCGCATTAGCAAGTTCCGTACATGGAATGCAGTGCAAAAAGGCGAACAGAAGAGCTAAGAAAGACATCTTTCTGATCCTCAATAGTTTTGCAAATCTACCGTAACCATCTGCCTGAAACTGAAAGTAGCCACCATGGTACAACATACCAGCAAGCAAGCATACACACTCGTATTCCCCATTCTAGCACCACACACTGAATGACAGCGAACTGACAACCCAATTGGTTCGTCTCACAACTCTGCACCACCAGCCCCTGCTAGCTTGCGCCACTAAATGACCATTGCCCCTCTGGCTCTGCCATCTTGCGCCTCCTTGCTCCCTACCCATCCACCTAGGGTCGGCCTTTCTTCGCTTGCCCACCAGCCCCTTCATGGGAGGGGGCAACGGGAGGGGGAAAATGGAGGGCAGGCACAGGGTAAGGCGTGAGATGATACAGAAATATGGTAGAGTCTGCCAGGGCATAGTCCACTCCTCTTTGTGTACCACGGTGGCAAATATGCAACAAACAACAAGGCACCTACGACGAGGGAGAGACGGGTCGAGGCAGAGCTTCTTAGCCTCGTTGAACACGAGGCCCTCGGGACACTGGCACTGCCACTGGCCCTCCTTCACAACGCACGCAGCAGTTCCGCAATCATTCTCACACATGGCTGTTGTGGGCACCACACAGGATCAAACAATCCAGGCATGCAGAGAAAGGGGACGGCTTTTAGGGCATAGGGACGTTGAAAAAAAAAACAATAATAAAAAAAAAAAAAACGAAATAACAAGTTGGCTGAGTGCCTTGCTCTCTCTTAGTATCTCTCTTGTGCCTTTTAAGTCAACTCAGAAGTCATCTCTTCCGTGTCATCAATCTTGTCAGAATAAGCAAAGAACAAGTTAGAGTGCTTCGAAACGTTAGTACTGCGTGCATGCGTACTGCGTGCATGCGCTTGCACTCACTGATCTCGCATCCAACTGATTGCCAGGGTTTAGCAATTCCATTGACAGCCCTGAGAGAGGGAGAGGTAAGGATAGGGAAGACCAAAGGTTAAGGCGAGTTACGACATTCGGACCATTCATGCTAGAACTACAACAGTAAAGCATACGAGAGTCGTATTACGTGCTGGAAGCCGTGATTCGCCGAAATGTGCGTGTGCATCACGCGCACTCACCTTCTCGTGATGGGGTAGGAACTGCCCTTCTTCACGGGACGTGCGATTGTGAAGTCCACCTTCTCCTTGCATTCCTCGTCAGAGTAGAAGAGCAACCTTTTGCACATGGCGTTGCCAGGCACGTAGTCTTGATACGAGACGGGCTTGGACGCGTTCCACACGACCGTGATCCTGGCATCGCCTTTGAGGAAAAAGCGCGAGCCGCACGCGATGGCGCCAATGGACTGCTCTGGACGCTGCGGTAAAAAGAACCACCGCGGCCCTGCTAACCCGCCTTGTTGGAATACCACCGACGTCCGCACCACGGGGGCTGACATCGTTGAGATGAGACCGTTGATGCGATGGTTGGTGCGACGATGGATGATTGATCGAGAAAGGGGCAGACAGGGCGGAAGGTGCGGGAGGAGTGATGAGGGGTGAAAGCGTTGCCTCTCAGCGTCTGTTGACATGCTGAGATGCTGGGATGCCGATGTGCTAAAACGCGAGGGTTTCTAGAAATGTAGTGTCTACAGGTCACCAGTGATGCACTCACCAAAGCACGTCATGTCTTCCAATTGGAGCCAGTAACCTTTCTTGTTGCAAACACAATGGGCACCACTGTCAGCATCGCAGGACGCCTCTGAGCCACACTCCACGCCGGCACACATGTCTGCAGAGGAAGTGATGGGTGGTTCTTAGGTGAAGCGAAAGCGGAAGTGTTGCTGATGATTGTGAACTTTGAACTCACCCACACGCGTGCACTCACCCACACACGTCTTGCTGTCATCGTCAAATTCAAAACCTTGCTTGCACTCGCAGGTGGCAAAGTCAACGTAAGGATCTTTAGTGCAGGTAGCTTCGCCACAGTCCAATTTGGTACACAGATCTGCACAGGAACCGGATCGTTGCAAGTATGGGCAAAGAGGCACACACACCAGCACAGACGCAAAGTACGGAAGGGAAGTTAAAACAATATATATTCTGCTATGATTGTGCACTCCCCCATATTCCAGCACTCAACCACACGCCAGCACCACAAGTCTACTCCCAGTGATGTGCGGCTGTCAGCCTACTCACCACCAGCAACGCCGGCGTGGGTCGCGAGGAAGGTGATGGAAACGAGACACGCACACCAGCACTCACCCGCCACACACGTCTTGTCCTGTGCCCAATGAAGACCGTCCTTGCACACGCACAGGGGCCCCGGCAAGTCTGTATCACCAACGCAGGCGGCTTCCCCACAGTTTACTTGAGCACACAACGGGTCTGCACAGAAATCGTGATTGATTCAAGTAGGGGCAGAGAGGCACACACACACCAGCACAGAGACAAGGTAGGGAAAGGGGGTTCAAACGAGGCAAATTCTGCTTCGATTGTGCGTCGCTCAACCGCCACTCCAGCACTCACACACACGCCAAGACCACAAGCCTGCTGCCAGTGGTGTGGGGCAGTCAGCCGACTCACCATCAAAAGGTACGGCGCCGGCGAGGGTCGCGAGGAAGCTGATGGAAAAACGCGACGAGTGCGGCGAGGCCACACAGGCCGGACAGGCGCGCGCAGGGCTTCATGGCGACGGGAGTCGGCGCGGGGAAACGGGAAGGCGGGGAGGCGCGGATCGTGATGACGGCGGAAAGGCGAGAAGCTTCCGATCAGAGCTGAACCGCCAAGATGGGACTCACGCCGCTGGTAGCCGCGACGAGGTGAGTTTGGGTGGGACCTAGAAAGTGCGACTGAGAAGGGAGGAGACGATGGCGCGCTGAGCGAGGAGCGGTGGGGAATGTGATTGAGCCCTCGGGGAGGGCGTCGATTATTGTGTTGAGAGCGAGTGGTGAGTCGCACATTCGGACTTATTATTCCTAGTATTTGATTCGCGGATCCTGTAGAACGTTTCGCCGCGGAAGGAGGAAGCGAGTGGGGAGGGAGAGGGGAGGGGAGGAACTCAGGGGGATGGGCGCTGCCGAGGCCCTGTGAATGGGAGGAAACCTTAGAACTACTAGGCGATGGTGTTGGGGCAGTGTGAAGGAGTCGATGAGGGATGTGGCGACTGTCGTCATGATGGGGCAATTGCCTCATAAGGGGGAGGAACGCGAATGGATGGGACGAGGGGACGGCGATGACGGGAGAAAATCGTCGGAAAGCGCCAGCTAGCTGTTAGTGAACGCGTTTAGGCAGCCAATCCCAATGGAAGCGGAGAAATCTTTCGGGGCGCAAGGGAAAGAAGCTTCTGCCTCTAGTACCACTAGCGCGCTCCGGTACACCAGGGTTGCAAGATTGCGGGACTTGCGGAGAGAGATTTATTTGTTGATCGAACGCGTTCCCAGGCCGTTCGCTATGATGGTGTGCATTCTACAGCGCTTGGCTTGCTTCACCGCTCTGAGCCGCTAGATACCAGCCTGAACAATCACACTACCCTACGAAAACTCTGAAGGGGATGTGTTGTTTGTTCGGGGTTGTCTTGACGTGGTTGAATGCGGTCAATAATGTATAAAGGATAAATATGTGAGGTAGACTTAACGAAACGCGTTCCAACCCTGTTTTGAATGGTTCATCTCGGTGCTCAATGGTCTAAATCGGTAAATGTTGAATACCACGCCCAAACGTAAATGACCGTTTTCAACCACGTCAAGCAAACTTCGTTTTGAATGACCCCCCTCGGACCTTTCTCTGACAAGCAATCACCCTCCGCAAGTCCCGCAGTTCTCGCAACTTCCGTGCCTTGCGCCCCACAACGGAGCTTGATTCCCGCCTGTGTCCATAGGGATTGGCCAGCTAAACGCGTTCACTAGCCGCTAGCTGACGCCTTTCCATACCTCCTGTCATCGCTGTCACCTCGTCCATCCATTCGTGCTCCTCCCCCGTGTGCCCACCATGACGAGAGTCGCCACACCCCCGATCGACCTTCTCGCTGCCCCAACGCCATCATCGCCATCATCGCCGTCATCGCCTGGTCCTAAGGTCGAGCGAATGCGCGTTTCCGGGCCTCGGCACAGCGCGGATCCCCCCCTCTCCTCCCCCTCACCCCACCTCGCTTCCTCGACGAGACTCGTTACATAATCCACGAGTCAAATTCGAGATGTGCGATTGACCACTCGCTCTCAACATAAATTCGACGCTCTCTCCGTAGGGCTCACTCACATTCTCCCGCCGCTCCTCGCTCATTGCACGCCTTCGTCTCCTCCCTTCTCAGTCGCACCTTTCAAGGTCTCACCCAATCTCGCATCGTCGCGACCCGAGGCTACCAGAGTCGTCAGTTCCATCCCGGCGGTTCAACACGGGCCTGAAGCGTGACGCCATCGCGACGTCTTCGTGATCCCACTCTTCCCGTTTCCTCGGGCCGCCTTTTGAGGCACCTCAAAAACTCCAAGTTCTTCCCGTTTTCCTGTGTGCGCCTGTGTCGCGCCGACTCCCGTCGCCATGAAGCCCTGCGCGCGCCTGTCCGGCCTGTGTGGCCTCGCCGCACTCGTCGCGGGTGTCGTTGCCATCAGCTTCCTCGCGACCCACGCCAGCGCCGCTGTTGGTGAGTAGTATGACTGAAACACACCTCGGGTAGCAGGCTTGTAGTGATGGCAAGTGGATGAGTGCTGGAGTGCGGCTGAGCGACTCACAATTATAGCAGAATCTGTCTCGTTTTGACCCCCTTTCCCTTTCCCTGTGTGCTCGTCTGTATACCTCTCTGCCCTTACTTTATACAATCACGATTTCTGTGCAGACCTGTGTGCGAACGAGGATTGCGGGGAAGGCACCTGCACTGTTGATGTAGACAATAACATACCCCTGTGCGTGTGCAAGGACGGTTTGGTATTCGACGACGACCACAAGACATGTGTTGTGGGTGAGTGAGTGCTGGTGTGTGGGTGAGTGAGTGCTGGTGTGTGGGTGAGTGAGTGCTGGTGTGTGGGTGAGTGAGTGCTGGTGTGTGGGTGAGTGAGTGCTGGTGTGTGGGTGAGTGAGTGCTGGTGTGTGGGTGAGTGAGTGCTGGTGTGTGGGTGAGTGAGTGCTGGTGTGTGGGTGAGTGAGTGCTGGTGTGTGGGTGAGTGAGTGCTGGTGTGTGGGTGAGTGAGTGCTGGTGTGTGGGTGAGTGAGTGCTGGTGTGTGGGTGAGTGAGTGCTGGTGTGTGGGTGAGTGAGTGCTGGTGTGTGGGTGAGTGAGTGCTGGTGTGTGGGTGAGTGAGTGCTGGTGTGTGGGTGAGTGAGTGCTGGTGTGTGGGTGAGTGAGTGCTGGTGTGTGGGTGAGTGAGTGCTGGTGTGTGGGTGAGTGAGTGCTGGTGTGTGGCCCAGTGCGCGCGTGTGGGTGAGTTCAGAATCACAAGCAACAGTTCCACTCGTTTAACCCGCTCTCCCTGCTTCACCTCGGAACCCCCCATCACTTCCTCTGCAGACCCGTGTACCGACAGCGCGGTGTGTGGGGTAGAGCCTGCACCACTCTCGGTCCTGCCGACTTCCTGTGCAATTGCAACAAGGAAGGCTTCTTCTTCAACGAGGCTGACAAGACGTGCTTCGGTGAGTGCTGCACTGCTGAGCTGAGCTGTAGACACTTCATTTTTCGAGGCACTCGCATGTTAGCATCTCAGCGTTACCACAGGCAGCACTGAGAGGCGCCGCTGAGAGGCAACGCTTGGAACGTTCACTTCTCACTCCTCCCGCACTTTCCCCCCTGTCTGCCCCCTTCCTCTCCTCTCCTGCCTCCAAACCCCATCACCGTCACGCAACCTTCGACCACCACAATCTGGCATCGTCCGTCTCAACGGCTGGTCAGCCCCGTTGGTGCGTACGACGGTGGCACTGCAGCAGGGAGGCTCGAGAAGCATTGTGCCGGCCAGCTTCTTGGCACCGCTGCCGGCAGAGCAGGCCAGTGCCAGTGGCAGCAGCGCGTGCGGCAACCTGTACGTCACCATCGAAGGCACCGCCAAGATCACTGTCGTGTGGAATGCCTCCAACCCCGCCCCGCCTGTTGACGAAGCGCCCAGCAACGCCATGTGCAAGAGCCTGTCGTTCTACGGCGAGTCGTTCTGCAAGGAGAAGCTGGGTTTTACGATCGCGCGACCTGCAAAGAAGGGCAGCTCCTACCCCGTCACAAAAAAGTGAGAGAACGAGATGCATACGTCTGTTGTGGTTTATTCCGCTGTGCTTCCAGCACATAGTAGGACCAGCTTCTACCAGAAAACGCTTGACCGTCGTAGTTGTGAGGTGAACAAACCGAATGTTGTAACTTGTTCTCACCTTTCCTTTTCCCTATCCTTACCTCCCCCTCTCTCATCTCAGGACCGTCAAAGGAATCCGTTCGCTGTTATCAGTTGGCTGCGAGATCAGTAAGTGCGAGCAGAGCACATGCACGTTACGCTGGTGATATTTTGGCTTCACGTAAAGAGTGTGCACGTTATGCTGGCGCACATTAGAGAATATCTATAAGAACGCTAGCATGTGCTTTGCTCACTCTGATGAAATCAGTGAAACGGGAGAGATACCATAAGAGAGAGCAAAACACCCAAGCTCTTCTTTTTCGTGATTCTATGCCTTACATCCATTCCCTTCTTCTACATTCCTGGATTGTTTGTCCCTCTGTGGTGCCCACAACAGCCATGTGTGAGAATGATTGCGGGTCTGCAAAGTGCGTTGTGAAGGAGGGCCAGCCGCAGTGCCAGTGCCCCGAGGGCCTCGTATTCAACGCCGCTAAGAAGCGCTGCCTCGACCCGTCTCTTGCTCCTCGTAGGCGACCCTAGTTGGAGGACCGGGGCCAAGGACGTCGAATCGGGGGAGGGTGGGGGGATTTGGGAGAGGGGGAAGAGGGGGGGGGGGGGGGTGCTGATGGAGCTGCGGTGCGAGCAACTGCATGCGGTTGCTTGTAAGGCTAGGAAACTGTCTGCCAGGGCCTCAGATATCAGCGTAAAACACGCTGATTACGCTGATTTTGTAGCTCTGAATTTCGTTTTCCCTGAAAAATCAGTAAATGCTTCCATTATGGGCTGAAATTTCAGTATATGTGATTTTGCCACACTGACGATTATGTGTGTTTCTGAACAAGTAACACTGACGAATCAGCATACCTCAGTGTACAGACTATACCTTTCCGTGTCACGAAACCCACACACTTCGCATGTGCTGCGCAGATACTGTATCAGGTGCGCTCCGAAGTGTGTGGACCTGATATCTTTCGCCTCGCTGGAACCTACGGTATCACAGTACCGTAACAACAGCACACACCTTGCACTAGTGTTTCAGCTGTTAGTTTTTTTTTACACTGTTGGTTCAGTTTACTTATGATTTTCACCCTGGCAAAATCAATAAGAAAAAATCCGTGAACGCTGATTTGGACACCTCGTTGGCCGGGGCATGCTGATCCATCAGCATACTCTCAAACCAATCTGAGGGCCTGCTGTCTGCCTAACGGGTTGGCTGGTTCACTTAGTGTATGGTTGGTACTAGAAATGGGATTACTTGCGTGTGCTTCCTGGTATGTTGTACGATAGAATCTACTTTTAATTCCTTCACACGGATTGTTTGCCTTGAAAATGCTACAATGTTCTATTTATGTCGTTTCCTTCGCTGCAATCTATTGGAAACAGTAAATCTTACAATGTTCTATTTATGTCGTTTCCTTCGCCTCCGTCGTGTCGAAACATCGCACGAGAAGTAAAGCAAACCTTATCGAAGCACCCGCGAGTCAACCCTCGGAGGTTGAGAGGTTGCTGGAGGTTACGCGAAAGTCAAAGGTCAAGCGACCTTTGACCTGACAAGTGCAGCGCGACAGTTAAGGACACACAACTGACTCATTACAGAGCAGTTGCCCGAGTCGTACTGTATCGAACCGCAACAGCAACAGTAAAGTAGTTACAACCGTATCTTTTCGTATTCCTTGTACTATTATATATTCTTGTATCTCTTTGCTATAATCAATCTACTTTGCCCTCACATACTAGCGCAAGGTGGTTCACAAACTCTTCATTAAACGCTTCCGCTACTACAAAGTTCCTACCCAGAGTTTTACCCCTGCAAAGATCCTAAGGGCTTATCTCAGCCCAACACAATCCACACTCACTATCCCAATTCAAGCATGACCTTTTTGTCAGAATCTTATGCTAGTCTAGTCTGCAGTGGGGTACTCAATAGTGAGTATAACCCTTTTAGGGCTTGCTATTTGTACCCTTTCTGCTGCGATCAAAAGGTGATCGCTCCCAGGATCTTCTCAGGAAGGTTCGCACGCAGGTAGACAGAATTGGTGGGCCCTTGACCTCAATAGCAGAGTGAATGTAAAATGCTTGAGATGAAGTAAAACATGCAAATACAACAATATAAATAAGAGTTCAGGGGAATTCAAATCGACCTATCTAGCCATGTACTCTAAGGGGTACATTCCCTTATTCAAATTCACTCCCAACCGTGCGGCGCGTACAGTTACGAAACTGTTCCCGCCAAAACCCTCCTGCCTGCAGCTGTCCGATGCCGTCTGCTCCGACGATCCAGACGCACCCCAACCGTCTGACGCTTCGAGTCAATTCTGACTCTTCGCATTCGTTCTCGATACTGCATGCTTCCTTAGCTGCGGTCGGGAATGCACTATAGTCTTCTCATTCATTATTATTCGTAACACTTCCTACTTGCTAGTGCACCCTCTTTGGCCAAACAGTCTCGACTCTTGCCCCAACCCTAAAACCTAGCTCCCAGTTACTAAGGCTATGGCTCCTAAGCCTACTGCTCTCTAGCTTGTTTCAACATGGTATTAGAGCCTTTGCGCTCCTGGCTTGTTGGCCCACATGCTTCCGCTGCTGTCCTGTCTGTCGCGCGCCCCGTGGCGCGCGACATCTTTTCTTCTCGCCACTCGCTCTGGGCCCGTGGCGGTTTTCTGCCCGAGCGCTTGGCGGTTTCCTGCCCCGTCTCGGCGCCTCAAGGGACCTGTGCATTGCCCCCCAAAAGTCGCCCATCGTGGCGCACCCAGGGACCCGCGCCCCCGCCCCTCCGTCGTTCGTCGGGACGCCCCCGGGGACCCGCGCGTAGACCCTCTTCGCCTGTCGTGGCGCCCTCAGGGACCCGCCCCCCCCCCCCCCGTCATGCGTCGCGACACCCCCGGGAACCCGCGCGTCACCCCCCGTCGTTCGTCGTGGCGCCCTGGGGGCCCTATCGGTTTTGTTACCTCGTTCCATGTGTGCGTGCGGGTTGGAAAGATGTGTTGGGTTGCGCGGGACGAGCTGGGCATGGATGGATGAGTACGGTACTTACAAGAGCGAGGGTTGTTTCTTGCGATGTGGTGGAATGAGGAATGGGCGGGGCGGGGAGGGAGGGATGCTAGTAGGGGAGGAGTGGGAGGGAGGCAAGGAAGCACAGAGAAAATGGGGGCGTGTGCAGTGAGCTAGTGCTCTTATGAGCTCCAAATGAGAACAGGTTGTGAAGTGCAAGAGTTCTAGCGTAAGGCCTACTTCAGGGCCCTTCCTGTGGCAAAAATGTGCTTCCTTTCACCCCTCGGGAGAGTACGGTACTTCATTCTCTGTAAGGCACCGCTTACAGTTCAGCAACAATAGGTTGCAACAGAACTGCAGCATGCCAAGCTGAGATTGCATGCGAACACTGCATGAAATTTCATCGACAGCTAGGTAGAGGCTAGGGAATGGGACAGCATATATTTTGCTGCCAACCAAGCACACATCATCCATGCCATCACCCGCCCCGCTTCCGCTCGCACGCCGCCCCAGCTGCTGCCCGCGTATCTGCCCCGCCCTGCCTGCGTTAGGGTCTTGGGGTGGCGGGTATGGGGGTGGCGGGTGTGTGAGCCGTCCCCTGCTCCTCCTCCTCCTCCGTCTCCCACTGCTGCAGCTGCCGCTGAGGGGGGTGGGTGTGTGGGAGCCGAGGGAATGGAACTACGGGGGTGTCGTGGGAGTGGGGCTAGGGGTGCTGCACAGGGTATGTGAAAGGGGTGTGGGACAGTTGGGGGAGGTTGAGCGGAGGTAGCCGTCGTGACGTCAGCAGCGCCAGTAGTCCGGGGCCCTTGCCACTGGTAGCCCAGCGAGCCTGCTGCGCCAGTCGCCCGTGGGTCAGTTGCTCCTGCCGCTCGTCTTAGCCGCGGAGCCAGTTACTCCTGTAGTCCTAGGCCCTTGCCACCGGTAGCCACCGTGCGCGCCGCTCCTGTTGCCCGTGTGTCCGCGGCTTCACCCGTCGCCTCCTATCTCCACTCCTCTCACAGTCCCTCCTCCTCCTCACTTGCCCTGTGTGACTGCCTCTAGCTTTGCTTGTGCTTGTGAACTTCTTATGCGTCTGCTTGCTGTACTGATTATACCCCACTTTGACTATGGGGGTGTGTCAGAATGTTATGTTTGTCTAGTCTGCAGTGGGGTACTCAATAGTGAGTATAACCCTTTTAGGGCTTGCTATTTGTACCCTTTCTGCTTGCTAGTGCATCCTCTTTGGCCAAACAGTCTTGACTCATCGCATAGACTACACTAGTAGTACCAAGACATTTGAGTTTCTAAGAGTGGTTAGGTTAGATTAGAATCAACACTTTCTTGTACGTAGTGGTGACTGCACGAAGTGAAGGCCTAGAACTCAGGTGTGTCAAACTATATCTGTGCTAGTTGTGTGTAGGCTATAGTGGGGTAGCCCATATGGGGTACAACCCAATGTTAGGGTTAGTACTTGTACCCACAATTCATTCAATGCAATCATTCATGCTCGCTATCTTGACATGGTTTCATAGCAATAGGTCCGTAGGACCATAATTTTTTCGGGCCCACCATACTTAACAACCGCCTACAATTACCGTGTTACCCCACTACCCTACGTCGCGCCGCCCGCGCAAGCCCTGCCCTGCCTTGCCTTGCGTCACACTTCCCGTGTACGCCTTGCCCCGCGTCGCGCTGCCCCGCGCACGCCCTGCCCTGCCCTGCGTCGCGCTGCCCCGCGCACGCCCTGCCCTGCCCCGCGTCGCGCTGCCCCGCGCACGCCCTGCCCTGCCCCGCGTCGCGCTGCCCCGCTCACGCCCTGCCCTGCGCGTCGCGCCCTAAGGCAGCCCGTCACGTGATGCTCTGCTGCCCCGCGCGTCGCGCCCTGTTGCAACCCGCGCGTCGCGCCCTACGGCAGCCCACGCGTCGCGCTCTGCTGCCCCACGTGTCGCGCTCTGCTGCAGCCCACGCGTCGCGCCCTGCTGCACCGCGCGTCGCGCCCTTTTGCAGCTCGAACGTCGCGCCGTGCTACCCTGCACAGCGCACGCCCTACAACCCGTGCCGCCCAGACCGAGCCGCGCCGCTCAGCCCCAGCCGCCCTGCCCAACCTGATCCGCCCTTCTGCTCGTGCTACTGCTGCTGCTGGTGGAGGTGCTGCTAGGAGTGCTGGAGGTGCTGCAACCTAGCCTCACAAGCCGCTCTGCTGCTCTTACTGCTGCTGCTGCTACTCGTGCTACTGCCTTCGCTCCGTACTGCCCTAGAGGTCGCGCTCCTCCTAGCTTGCCCGCCATGACTTTACTTTGTAATAGCGATGGGAGTGGTGACGGCGGTGGTGGCAGCAATAGGAGTGGTGGCAACCGTAGTAGCAGTCACTGTGGCGCTGTTTGGTGCAGAGTTTCTGGCGGTGGCCAGATGCAGCTACAGCAGCGTCCGACCCTTACGCCCCGGCAGCTTTGTGAGTGGTTTTACCAGCGTGGGACGTCTCTGAGTCCTGGTCGCTGCCCGTACGTCATTCGCACAGGTCGTCGAGCTGGTCAGACCTGTGGGACACCTGGTCACGCACAGTCCCGCTG